GTGTGTGTGTGTGTGTGTGTGTGTGTGTGTGTAAAACGACATTTGTGTTCAGGGAAAACAGGTTATGTGGAGAATGCACTTTTTAATTATAGTACCACAGTGTGATCTGACAAGCAGTCTTGTTAAAGAGTACTCTGTGGAAAGGCTGGCTCAGAGTTGCTAAATTCTTCAACTAACCGATCACCATGGCAAGGAAAGATGAGAGGGTGGTGTGTTACTGTAAAAGTAGTGTACGACCTCAAGGACCGTCTAAGCTGATTTGATGAGGACATCTTGTAAGGTGTAAGAAACTATGTTTATTATATTTTTATTTAGTGATGAATGAGTCAATTGATTAACCTTTGGAGTATTTTAACTGAACTAAAGATGAAACACTACATGGGTAACTGTTAGTTTTGTGTAACAAAGTACACAAGAGATAGGTTTATGAAAAGCTGAATTTAATTAAGAAAGATAAATTCATTTAAGATTCTTCTTGGTCTTCGTTGAACAAACTAAAAAAATATGTCTTTGTTCTTTGCTGAACTATAGAGAAGTACTTGCAAAGTGAGCAGTGAGATCCTCAGGTTCCCCTCAAATTAAGATTTGCTTCACTTTTTACAAAAAATGGAATGAACTCTTGTGGAATAAAATTTTATGGTTTAATTGCTAATGGGCATGTCCTAATGACGTGTATTATTGATGTTTCATAGTATTTTAATGTACAACCTGTTGAAATAGCAACAAGAAGTCTACAAAAATAGTATATCCCCCAAAGACAAGATCTTTTTCATAAATTCTAGTCTTGAAGTTTCAGGAAAACTTGTTTGATGCTGTACTTAACGGGAAAAAACTAGAAACTATTTACTGTACTGTACCTTTGGTCGAGTTTGGTTTTTGTGTGTTGGGTTTTTTGTATTTGTTTTGGTGAGAGTGATGTTGGTTATGGTTGGTATAGTGGTTGGTTTCATTTTGAGACTTAGATAATAAAAGCTGTAAGCCATATGTTTGGACTTGATACTTTTCAGGGTATCAGGAAGGCTGCTAGTTGTAGTTTTGTGAGTTAGAAATAGTAGATGATATTGAAGACACAGACTCTCAGTTCTTTCTGAAGAATTGACTGTATGACATGAAAAGTGTTTTGCCTGTTAAGCAACAGCTATTTACGTTATCATGTGATGCTTAGAAGATTTCATTAAGCACTGTGAATTTTTGGGAAGTTACTATTTCTCACTGATCAGAAGTGTTAACTACAGTGACATGGATTCATTCATTATGGAAAATGTCCAAAGGGCAGTGGAAAGCAAAGAAAACATTCTTGCTGGCTTCTCCACCCCACCCCACCCCCCAGGACAACCGAAGAGTTCCCTTCTTGCCAGAGGGCAAGGTTAGGTATGGTTAATGCAGGCCTAAACTAACCTGGGGTTGATCCAACAGTTTTTCATGATACGCCATATGGACATTTAAAGCACAGAGGTACTTTTCAAACAACATAGGCAGTGTGTGTTTTTGGTTTTTTGATTTTGGTTTTTGGTTTTTGGTTTTAGAGACAGGGTCTTAACTGTGTATTCCCAGCTAGCCTTGAACTCACTATGTAACACAGACTGGCCTTGTGCTTGCTGTAATACTCCTGCCTCAGTCTCCTGAGTGCTGGGATTAGAAGTGTGTGCCACCATGTCCAGCAACGCAGGTCCCATTTCTTTAGCAGACCCCATTTCTTTAGCAGACCCCGTGTAGCCTTAGGTCCTTTCCACTTGTGATGGTTTGGCTTTGTTAAATAACATGGGAGGACTACTTCAATATTTTGGCCAAACATTGTGTAGGAGCAAATGAGAAATCGCATGGTTGTGAATAGTTTGTCCTGTAGTAAGGGATTGTATTCAGATGGTGAAGAATTCTGAGAGTATATTTGCTAAAGTTTTGAACAGCCACTGGTGGTAGAGACATTAGACAGGCACCTTGGCAGTCAGGCCTTGTCAGGAGTACTCCATTCTGTATAAGCAGGAGTTCCAGAGAGTGGAGAACTCCTTCTTTTAGGCACACTTTGCAAACTGTCAAGGTCAGCGTCTTTATATCTCTGTTAATCTCTCTTTGCACAATATAGGCAGGACCATTTCTAATGGTTTTAAAAATCTCTTCTGATTTCTTTTTTCCAAATTGCACCCCCACCCCATCCTCGTTCTGGTTCTGTCTTATCATACGTTCCCTGGCAGGGAGCAGCCAACTGAAAGAATTGTAATCTTTTGAGTAAAAAATATTAGTTTATCTGTCCCTAGAATCCCTCTCGGCTCAGTAGGAAGAGGCCCCATTGCTTTGGCCAGGACTTGACTTTGATTGTAGTTTACTCTCCATTGCCCTGTGAATTGACTCAGTTTATTGCCTAATCTGTCTTTTCCTTCCTTCAATTAATGTCATGATTCAAGCATCTTGTCCTATGGAAATCCTCCTTAAAGCTTGTTGGCTCCTTGTGTAATGCCTGGAGCCCTCCCTTTATGCTCAGCACCACAATTTTCAGTTCTTGGTGGTTGCTCTATGCTATCCTGAGAACATTCAGTCTCTTCATCTTTGCAGCCCTAATCTTGTGAACCCTTGCCTTAGTATAGATTCCATTTTTGTCTGTGCAGTGTTCATTTATTCACTAACTCATTGAGTACCTAGCACTATGCTAAATGCCTTTATGACAAAGATGATGAGGATGTGGTCATTTCCACGAGAGGAGTACATGGATTTGGTTGGTGGTGGTGTTGTAGTATGGTAAGTGACATTATAAAGCTTGTAGGGTGTCCTGGAGTGAGGTAGGCTCCTCAGACTCAGATTGGTAGGTCTCACCAGGCTGGGAATTCCTGTGACCAACCAGGCTCTTGGCATACCCAAATTTTGTCAGCCCAAGGGTTTCTTACATCCAAGTCCAAGTGGCCTCTTAACCTTGTGTCAGATTTCTCTAGAAGAAAAGTTCACATACTGGCTTAAATGAAAGTCTCCCATAGGGTGTACTTTTTCATAAAATTTGAGTGCCTTATTCACATTATTAACCCTATGTTAACTTGGTTTCTGAGTAGCAGTTGAACTCTGATTCTGACTGCTTGGTAATCCCTATAGACAGTTGATCTGTTTGTGTCCCAAGTGAATGTTTATGAAATATTTCATAATTGTCATTATTGTCTTTATGCAAATTGTAACACAGTCTTTCAGTTTGAAGGAGCAGAATGTGTTAAAATAGCTGTTGATTCTTTTAGAAACTGTAGAAAAGACTGTAGGGGCAAAATTCTCAGGGTGGCAGGATCTGAGACTGAGTTTATTCCTCCTGGTCTGGGGGTGCTTTCATATCTGCGCCTGAATCCCTTGTACAGTGACAAAGGTCTGAGGCCACATGTGGATGAGCCAGGCTGAGGTATCCTTTCAGATGACTGGTTCCAAGGTCATGGTCATCAAAGCTCATGTTGCTAGAGGCTGATAGGAAACTTGCTTTGAGATTGCACATTCATTGCAAACTACACTGTCACTGAACCAGTACTGAAACATTCAGGTTCATGTGGGTGTTGTCATGCAGTAATAAGCATCTGTCCCCTCCTGTCCCACATCTCCTGTCAGCCACACTACAGCCCCTACCAAGAGGCACTCCACTAACCATGCTTAATTAAGGAGTTACTGTGTCATATGCATGCACCTAGCAATCCTGTGTTTCTTGTAAAGGAGGCCAGAATTATGTACAAAGGCAGCTTTGTTTTGTTTTTAGATGTTTTTGTTTTTCACCCTGACCCTGTGGTGTCAAGAAGTAGATCTATGTACAATTTTGTCCAGTTCTTTTCATGTGGTTACCTTGCCTGTCCTGGGGAATGGAGAAAAGTATAGAATCTCAAGGTGATCATTACATCAGAGCAGCCGGTGTTTCATCTTGTTAATGATCCATTTGGATACCCTTTTTGTTCTCAGAGAGTTCCTATTGTAAGTGTCTGGATAGGAATAGCAATAATCCGAGGCTTCACTTTTTATAGTTCCAGTTACCCGAAATTATCCATGGTTAAAAAATATTAAATAGAAAATTCTAAAAATATGAGTTTTGAATTGTGTACTTTTGTGAGTGACTGTGCTAAAATATTGTGCCATCCCCAGTCTGTCCTTACCTGGACATAATCATCCTTTATTCTAGTATTGCCACACTCTGAGGTACCTAATCACTCAGGTACTTTCAGATCTGTGGTGATAAAGCAGTGTTTATGAGGTTCCCTACTGTACTTGCTTTCAGGCATCTGCTGAGGGTCTTAGAATATATCCCCCACTGATGAGCTACTGTATATAGAAGTGATGCATAAACATTCATTTTGCCCTTTCCTTTTTGGGTCTCTGAATGGTCATGCATTGTGAAAGTGTTTGGCACCACTTCGAATCTGCAAACAATGGTGCTGAGAGCCAGTGTCAGTTGGAGATTGGCGCAGACTTAATGGTTGATGGCACGATGAATGCATCACTTGTCTAAGATTTTTCATAGTGACTTTCAGTCTTCACTCTCTTGGGAGATAGTACGAACCGCAGTTGGGTTTTATGCTTTCTGGGTGTTGCCCATGCCAATCATAGCACTGCAGGGGAGCAGAACCAGTAAGAATAATTAGATTGAGGAATGAATGTCACACTTCTAATTTCATTTTCTTTTCAGGGGATTACCAGTGTCCATTTAATAAAATGAGATTAACCCTCTGCAGCAGGAGTATTTGAAAGCTGTCAGTCAGTATAATCTTGACGGGTTGAAGGAAGCAGTGTTCTCAGCACTCCCAGAAACAATGTCCAGTGCTACTGGCCACATGGGGCAATACGAATTAGGGTTAGCACTTTTGAATGCATTCCTTGAAAAAAGGACGCATTCTGTGACTGACTCACACAACATCAAAATAATAATGTAAAAGTAATACTATATAATTCAGTTTTGAGTAGCCAGATAAAATACCTAAAAGATTAGGAGTTTAAATGCAAGTTTAAAAACATGTTTATAAAACAGCTAATGGTATCTTTCCTTGACTGTTTAGAAAACCTCGGATCAATTCTCAGCTGGTGGCACAACAAGTGGCACAGCAGTACGCCACTCCACCACCCCCCAAAAAGGAGAAGAAGGAGAAGGTTGAAAAGCAAGATAAAGAGAAACCTGAAAAAGATAAGGAAATCAGTCCTAGTGTTACCAAGAAGAATACCAACAAGAAAACAAAGTAAGTTTCTGAGAAAATAAGTGTAATGTCTTATTTTACAGGTCAACCAAAGCTACCTTTTAAATACTCCCTTTTTTGATCCTCTCACCCCCACAGACCAAAGTCAGATATTCTGAAAGATCCTCCTAGTGAAGCTAACAGTATACAATCTGCAAATGCCACGACAAAGACCAGTGAAACGAATCACACCTCAAGGTACCTTGAAACTAGAACGAATATATAATTGCTGTTCTTATTAATCATAATCAGGAGCCCCGAGTGACTCCATGCCTGTGAATTTTAGGTTCAGGGAGGTGGGATGTAGAGCTGAATAAGAGTGGCATTGCTGGCTTTTGGGTTTTGGGTTTGTTTTGTTTTGAAAGTCTACTTTTATATCACAGTGGCCAAAATAAGAGACAAATTGATAATTGTGCATAGGTCCATACTTTAGCCAGCTAATGGTCATTGCCAAAGTCAATCAGCACACTATAGACAGCTAAGGTATTTGTAGGCAGTTTAGATTTACTGTTACAATGTCATGAAGTCTTGGTGTGTAGTAATGAAGCTGGTTTTAATCTCTCATTTATTAAATTGGCCATTCTCCTTGTGTTTCAGGCCCCGGCTGAAAAATGTGGACAGGAGCACTGCACAGCAGTTGGCAGTAACTGTGGGCAACGTCACCGTTATTATCACAGACTTTAAGGAAAAGACTCGCTCTTCCTCGACATCCTCATCCACAGTGACCTCCAGTGCAGGGTCAGAACAGCAGAACCAGAGCAGCTCGGGGTCAGAGAGCACAGACAAGGGCTCCTCCCGTTCCTCCACGCCAAAAGGCGACATGTCGGCAGTAAATGATGAATCTTTCTGAAATTGCACATGGAATTGTGAAAACTATGAATCAGGGTATGAAATTCAAATCCTCCACCTGCCCATGCTGCTTGCACCCCTGGAGAATCTTCTATGGACATCGACCTCTTAGCGATGCTGCCAGGATAATTTCTGCTTGCCATGGGCATCTGGCCACCAAGGAATTTCGCACCCTGACAATTACTCTTGACACTTTTATGTATTCCATTGTTTTATATGATTTTCCTAACAATCATTTATAATTGGATGTGCTCCTGAATCTACTTTTTATATATAAAAAAAAAAATCTGCTGTGCACAATTTTCCATGTACATTACAACTGGTTTTTTGTTTTTGTTTTGTTGAGGGGGGCTGGGGGGGGAACTTTTATTTATTGTGTTCATAAACTCCATCCTTTCAGCATATCCTCTTTAAGTTTAGTTCTTTCTTCCAGTTATACTATGTACTATCAGTTTTGATATAACTATATATATATATAAATATAAAATTATATATAAAGGGTTATTTGAAACCAATCCATGGCAACGCTGGTGCTTGATACACTGTGAAGTGAATACAACATTGAACAGTTACAGATCTGGGACAGTCCCTTCTATGAAAGTGCTGAAGTTGAATTAAAGTCAGTCTTACATGAAGTATGTTCCAACCTACATGGGAATTTGACTCTCATCTGTCTATAAAGAGTACTGGATGATATAAAAAAATATATATTTTTAAACTATGTGATCTTGAATTTAAAGACTGCTCCAGATAGCCTGCATTTGCAATGGGATAACTGACAAATCACAAGTGGTTCAGTTGGGGGGAGGGCTTTGATCATCCAAAAGTAAACTAGCTCCAGAATGCCAAGTATTCGTGTAAATTACAGTTACATGTTAACATTGCTGTTCTCACTTACACACTCATGAAAATACGGTGTTCTGTGACTCAAATTCCAGCCATTTTCCAGACCTCTACTCATATCTGAGGTAAATCTAGAAGTTATGTTAGTTTTAGGATTAAAACTGCATTTTTGGCCTATACCATACCGGGAAGCAGTCCTTTGTTTCCACTTTGCACATGACTGCAGTGGTGGTTTTTGTTACTGGAATTTGTTTGCCTTGTGTTCCCTTGTCCCTCACCGATGTTGTGAGAATTCATTTCTCTTTCTTAAAACGTAGTATGGTTCATTTTACTAAACAAAAGTTATCAACTACACAACAGTCCCAACATGGAGCCCTTCATTGTGGATATTTCCCAGTTCCCTGCTGTGGGAAGGGACTCCAGTGCTGGTTGGCCAAGGTTCAGGAAAACCTCATGCTCACGGCAAGAGCAAACGCATGAGTGATCTTTGTCTTCCTTGACAGAGAGACTGCTCGAGTGAACTCTCCATTTGTTTTCACTCTTTACTGTCTTGAAAAACAAAATCAAAGACCACTAATACAATTCCACTTATTTTAAAAATGTTTTACTTTACTTTTATTTGGATTTGGGGTCTGCCTTCTATTAACACCTATGTTCATATCCACCAAGTTTGATACTTAATTATTTCAAGCATTAGAACTTGATGTTAACCTTCCTTTATTTGATCTTACTTTAAGGACTCACGAGAGGGCATATAATGTAAAACAACACCACATTTTGGTGTTAGCGCAATTTGCTTATTAATAGAACCAACTTCTGTCTGGAGGCAACAAGTAAAAAAGAAATTAACAGCTTGAATTGAGTAGCCAACAGTAAAGGTTCCTTTCACATTTACATTAAAACTATTCTGTAATCCACTAATTACCATAATTTAAATTCTGTTTTTTAAAGGTCTAGATTATAAAGCAGTGCCATTTGTTGCTGTGGTCCTATTCTCAAATGCATGGACAATGTTCCCCCCTTTTTAAAATAATGCTTGTATCTGGGATGCAAGCTGTGCTTATCTTTTTAAATAACTTTTTAAAGTATTTATTAATGAACCAAAGGAAATCAGGTGCTCTCTATAAGCATCAGAATATATAATACATAGTGATTTGACTATGACTTTTAAATCCACATTTTAATATTAGTGGGATATTGCAAAGACATTCCTTCTAAAGTTTTAATATTCCTTTTATTAAGGGTCTCAGGGAGGGTAAATTAGTCAGCCATATTTATTTTCCAGAGGTATAAGGAATTGCTAAGTTTTTAATTAACTTTTTAAAAAAACTTAAATGCCACCAAACTCGTGGGTTGCACTGCTTTTTGAACCAGTAAGTGTTGGTATGCACTTTGTCCAGAAACACTGTGTACTTTGCAAAATTAGTTTCATGTAAAGTGATTGGACCCCTAGATTAGTGGTATAGCTGATTAACCAGCTACTCATAGGCTGCTAATTAACTCATTGCCAATGTCTTGGTTTTTCAGTTTTGCCTCCGTGATAAATTAAAGAATGGGGAGAGGTGAAGGAAGGGGAGGTGGATTGCTGTAGAACAGGTGGGATGAACTTGCTGTTTTGGTAGGAGCTGTAGTTAGCAGTGGGAGTTAACCTAAAGCAATCAGATGTTAGAGGGCCGCCCTTTAGCTGCGGTCTGTGTTGGGGTACTGAAGTGGTAGTTATTTTTAGACTTAATTTCTTAAATTGTTGACACCCCTCAGGCATGTATTCTTCTGGAAATGGAATTCCTCTTTCTGCCTTTGCAGTTTGGCCTACAATTAGTAGGCAGTGCATAAAAACACTAGTGTAGGTTATAAAGTAAATATTAAAAAGAGGACCAGAAATACTTGGTATTCAGTGGCACACAAAGCAGGTTTAAAAAGAAAAAAAAAAAAAAAAAAAAAAAAAGCACAGTGTTAAACGCTTGCAAGTTTCCATTTGTTTTAATACAACACACTCGTGTGTGCATAGGCACACACACAGCTTACCTGACTTGTTCTGCTTGAGTCATGCAGTTTTAAAAAAAGGTAAAGACATCTTGACACCTAGGAAATGTTTTAGTCCAAACCTTTCTGTTTCAATCTGAATATTTAAGAAATTGGCAAAAGCTTCTGTGAGTTCGTTCCACTAAGATGTTTTATCTGCCTTATCAAGACCATTCTCAGTCTACTTTTTTAAGCTACTACCATATCTTAAATTATTGAAAATTTATTAATTGCTGAATATATAACCTTTGCTTGTATGTAACTGAAAATGGTTTAAGAGCCAACATTTAGAGTATGACAATGGAGCTGAACAGTTTTTAATGCGCAAGCAGTTCTGTTCTTGTGTATGACTTGTAACCTTAATTTACTGTGTAAAGATGGTTACATTATTTCCTTAGCTTTGTTTGTTGGAGACAGAGAATGCTTGTTAAGTATGTCGAAACATAATCTTATCTTGTGAATTTTTGTTAATGTATTATACGAGCTATATTTTCCATTTGCCCAGAAAGACAGCTTGTATAACGCTTTTGGAAGTTTTCTGCTCTGTAACGTCCTTAGAGCTGACAGTCTGTTAGGTTTGTTTTCTCTTCATGCTAAAGTGTCAGTTGGTGGTTTTGTGAACTGGTCAGAAATTCACAGGTCTTAAATGTTTTGGGGAAATTTATATTGGACACTGCTCTTTGTCTAGCAAATAAAAGATGTTAATATATTCCTGTTACTGGCATGTGCACGACTATGTTATTAGAAGCCACTTTATCATTTTCCTGCTTTAAATAGAAATGTCTATTTATGAATTCTGCTTGTAGTTTTTTCACAAATAAAATAGTAAAATTTATGTTGGAAATCTTTATTTTTGTGTGGTATAGATTTTAGCCTTTAAGAAGTTATTTTTTACCTAGGTTTTTAAACTAATGGAATGTTTTAAACATGAGTAGGAAGCTCGTTTGATTTTTCTTTTGAACTTGAGTTATCAGAAGGAGTCTCTAAAAGAAATCACTAAAATTTGGAAGAATGAATTACTCAGTGCATCATTTAGACCACAGTGATTTAAAGAAAGGGAGTAAAGATGCCTAAAAGTGGCTAATTCAGCATTGGACAGAGAACCCTCTGGTTCTGGCCAGGTAAGTTAGGTCCGTTGTGATTTGGGATTGTGCGTGTGTAACCTAAAGTCCACGCAAGCTGCGCTACCATATTGCCCCCTGCAAAGGACAATGACCTGCTCCTGGTGGCACACCAGTGACATGCTTTTCCAAGAATAATGAAACCAGGTGAAATGACATTCATTCCCCAGTGACGACTCTCTCCTGGGTCTGCACTTGAGCTAGCACTAAAGGGAAGGGTGTGTAAACAGTGCTCAACCTTGATTTGAAAAGGAGTTTGTCCTGTTAAAAGGAAACTTGGCAAACATTCTTTGTGAACATTTTCAGTTTCATGTGACCCAGGTTTGGCTCCTCAGAAGAGTTTAGAAGGGATTAAATGGTGACTTGTGTTCCCCCACAGGCATTTTAGACACAGCCTACCCACCTCCTGGCTCTGATTTGTGCAGGTCTTCATGCTGGTAGCACCGGCAGTGCTTTAGGGGCAAATGGGTGCCTACCCTAAATGAGGTGTAGGAACCCACAAAGAGTTGATTCCAGATCTAGAACAGAAAGGAGGTGGAGTCTGCTCTTTAGTGCTCAGCTAAATTCCAGCACTGATAAGGAGCGTCCCACCCCTCTTGCTGAAGAATACCATGGCCAGGTATTGTGATGCCATTATGGTGAGAGGCTCTTGCTGAAGTCTAGATAAGGTGGAATGATGTCTTAAGCTTGTGACCTGCCTTCCTTCATATTGACACAGGGATGGAGAATAGCCAGCTGTTCACCAGGCCAGGCCCAGAACAGCAGCCATGTCAAGGAGGCCCTTACTCCCCTCTCCCTGACCTTGGCACTTCCATAGAGCTGCTCTGAACCCTTGAGATGAGCAAGGACAGTTTCAGAGCTGACTTTGTATAGAATCAAAGCTCAGGCAAGGTTCTCTTTGCTAATCAAAGAAGTCAGGGTATCATCTGAGTGTCTAGTGGAAGTGGACGGTTGGATACTTCAGGGAAGACCCTTATTTTTCTAGAATGGGTCATAGGAAATGTCCGGACACATGAGGAATTAAAAGAGTCTGGGCAGACCGTGGAGTGGACATAGATAAGTGTTCTCCCTGGTAATGCCTTGCTCCAAGGATTAACAGGCTAGGGTGGGACTCTTCACTTGATTTTAGCCAAAAGGCCGAGAAGCGATTAGGGTGGGACTCTTAACAGCATCCAGTCCCTAAATGTTTAAGTCTCGTGTATCCAGCTCTGTGTGGTAAGTTTGTGACGGGATAAATGTGTGGAAAGAACAGACTGAAATGGACCCACTCCTGCAAGTCTAGTTAAGTGGCGTAACACAAGTGTCCACTCCTCAGACAAGACCATGCATCACTGATTCAAAGTACCCTTTCTCAGCCAAATCCAGACTTGGCATCGTGAACACAACCTTTAACCGGTGCTTCCTCCAGATAAACCCATTTGACCTGGACAAAACCCATCCAAATAATTGGGGAGTCCTACAAGGCAGGATTCATTCATAGAACCTAGGAAGCCAAGAAAACCAGTTGAGAGTCCTGGAAGATCTAGAAAGGAAGAAGACTTCCCAACACTTCTGTTCAGAGAGCTCAGCTTCCTGTTCAAAACAGGACCGAAGGAAAGTTCTACTAAGGGCGTTGTTGAGCTCTATAGCTTTAAGGGCAAATCTAAAGCCCAGATCCAAAATCTGCCATCCAGGAGGGGTGCTGAACCCTATGGACCAGACAGGACCAGTCCAAGGCTGTTGGCCTGGTTCTGTCACCCGCAAACTATGGATTCCTGGAAGGTACAGGGCACACCTTGGGAATCAGAGCCCAATGAGACTCACCTCCAAGGACGGGGTGACCTTGGGTAAGTCTGTGGCCCCGGATTATTTCTGAAATAGGGATGAGGAACATACCAGTTGCTGTTGGGTTTGACGTCTTTAATGGTAGAAAATTTCTTTTTCTGCGCTTTGATTCTGATGCTTTGCTGATAAAACCAGGAATGAAGAGAGGTTTGGGGATAATTTTATCATGCTTTAAAAAAAAATTCTTTTTTCTGACCCAGAGGAAGAAATGGTTAAAGGACACATGTAGATAAATAAAGTCCAGTGGTATTTTTGACATCTGTTAGATTTTATGTGTACCAAGTATTACAACGAATATGGCTTTTAATTTTTATAATTAAAATGATTTTAAAGTGATATTCACTGTTACTTTTGTTTTTTAATGTATTTCTGTTATTTTTAATTTTTTATCTTTATTAAAGTTTATTGGTACATCTTAGATACACAATACAGTTACATTCATCATTGGTCTCTTGTACCTTTACATGATTTATCTTTGCTCTTATTTTTCCCCATTCCCCAGCCCTCCCTTTACCCCTCCACCCTTCCTTGTTTACAAAGACATTGTTTCTGTATTTTTCCTTTTCACAAATTTTTCTTTTCCCTTTTTACCTTTCCCCTACCCCTCCCACTTCCTCTACTCTTTTAGACCTTTTCTTACTATTATACAATATCACTTGTACATTTTGATTCTTATTTACACTTTTAACCAGAGAAACTATTTGGTATTTATACATGTGTGACTTAATTTCACTTGAGTGTGGCCTCGATGTACATCCACTTAGCTATAAATATCCCTAATTTCTCATTCTTTATGGCTGAGTAGTACTCCGTTTTATTTGAAAAGATTAAAAACATCTTTATCCAGTCTCCAGTTGATGGGCAATTGAGCTGTTTCCAATTATTATTATTATTTTAATTATTATTATTATTTTATTTTTATTTTTAAAAGTTTGAGAGTTGGCAGGAGAATTAGTCCACAGAGCACCTGCCGCCACCATGGAGTAGAGGCCTCACATGTATAATTATGCATATACATACAAACACTATTAATTGAAAATAGGCTTTTTGTTTTATTCATGCATAAATCCACAAGCCCCCTAGGACAGAGAAGTCTGAACTGCAAACCACTGAGATCAACGACAAACACACTCATGGAGAGGAGATTTTGGATGAGAATCTTTTTTTTAGCCTGAGTCACTGAGCTGTCACAGAAGCTCCAGGATGAGGAGCACCTTCAGTCTGGAAGCTAGGCAGATTTGCAAATCGTATTCATCACCCCTTCGCATTTAAAGGCGTTTGTACCCATTTGGAGAAGTCTACAAGAGAGTTTTATCTCATTGCCTGGAATTACAACTATTTGCAAAACGTGTGAA